TTCAGAGGTCGCCACCTTGAGGTTAACAGCTATGACTTTGTCCCAGTCATCCTCAGACATGTGAAGCAGAAACTCATCCCTGGTAATGCCCGCACAGGACACAACGATGGATGGCGGGCCACTAAAGCAGGCCTATGGAAGAGGGAGGTTACACACCAAAAACCCACAAACAGCCAGGGGCGGTGGAGGCAGTGGAGCACTTTAAAGGGAATGAGGTCGCTCGTGTTCACCTGCACTTGTTCCAGCAGGCGCCTAGCGGACCGGGCCTCAGACACGTCAGTCTGGAAGGCAGCATGGGCCCTCTTCTCACTCCCTGGCCCGCCCAGCAGCTGCACCGTCTCCCGTGCCGCTGCCCCGTCCAGGTCACAAGCGGCCACTGCAGCCCCCTCTTGGGCCAGGCGCACACAGACTGCTCGGCCGATGCCGCTACCCGCACCTGCATAGGAAAGAACACGAGGGAGTGGGGTATGGGGAGGAATGGGCAGGGGTCAGAGGTTAACAAGACGCAAAGTTAGTAAAACTTGGACCAGCAGCCAGAAGTCCCAGCGGCTGCACAGGCCGAGGGCGCGCCCCGGACAGCATTCCGGCACCCCACCCCGCCCTGAAAGAGCACCCCTTCAACCTGTGACCAGGGCTACCGCAGAGCGGAGCCGGAGCTGAGTCGCCATGGCCGGCTGTGGATGAACGGGCAATCCAGCACAGAGCCAATCCGGGCACAGTGGGGGCGTGGCAACAGCAAAGTCAGGCCAATTGTAGCCCCGTCACCTTAACACTACCCAAGGCCTCCAGCTCCAGCGGACCTCCCACCGCGGAGGCGTGGCTACACACTAACGCTTGGGGCCCCGAAGAGTGGAAAGATGAGGGGCCCTCATACCCCCCACAAAAAGACAAAGGCTGCATTTGGGGTGGAAGATTCGAGGACTTTATTTCCGGTCACCACCCCACTCCCTCGATTCAAACAGCAATATAAAAATTACAAACAAAATAAAAATCAGGCCATGAGATTAGTAACTTAAAGCCCCCTGCCTGCCCCCCCCCCCCGGAAGAATCACTTCCAAATCAGGACACACGATTGAATGATGTTTAATAGATGTTTATCCCAACACGCCCCCTCCCCTGGTTTAGGGCTCTGATGTTCCCTGAAGGAAGGGAGAATGAGGACCTTGGAGAGATCTGTGTGGCAGCTGAGAATAGGTGGGGTAGGAGACTTGGGGTAGGCTGCCATCATTGGTCTCTTCCAGCTTTCTACATGGCCCCATTTAGCCCCCCAAATCCAACAACACGGTCAGCATGTGCCCAATACAATGGTCCCTCTAGCCGCTCATTCTCATCCCTACAGGCCCCATAAAACTGCCAAACCTTGTTGCCCTCATGCCAAAATCAGCACTTCCCTAGGATACAACTTTCTTTGGCAGATGCTTCTGGCCAGGGCCCCCAACCTCCACAGACCCCTGACACTGACAGCTTAGAGTTCTGGGGCTGGGGTGGGGGCAGTTAATCCCACCTCTCACTCCAGGTGGGCAATCAGCACCATCATGACAACTCCCCCCAGCAGCCCCAGCACCTCCAGAAGTGACTGCAATGGTGATGCCTCCCTCAACAGCTCAGGCAACACAGACACCGTTGCTACGTAGATAAAGCCACCTGCAGTGAAAGGCAGAATCCAGCCAGGACCTGAACCACCTGCAGCTTCACTGCCTACTGCCCCTCCTTCAGTTAGAAGGGCACAGGCTGTGCCTGCCAGTGCACCTATTGATGTCAGTAGTTGTAGACGCATCGCCTGGTGGGTAGAAAAGAGAGGCACTCATCAATATCTAAAGTTTATCAGTGGCTTAGATGTGGCTGGTAGGATATGGGTATATATGGTGGGATGTGTGTTTTTGGAAGCAAAAAGAGTATGGCAAAAAAAAGACAGGGGTATAGAATAAACACTTTCTGAAAAATCTTAAATATCAAAAAGGTCCTTTTCAGCCCTAGCCAGATGGCTCAATTGATTGGAGCATTGTCCTATACATCAAAAGTCTGCAGGTTTGATCCCCAGTCAGGGCACATCCCAAGGTTGTGGGCTTGACCCCTGGTCAGAGCATGTACAGGAGGCAACCAATCGATACTTCTTTCTCACACCGATGTTTCTCTCACTCTCTCCCTTCCTCTCTCTCTAAATATCTTTGGCTGAGGGCTTAAAAAAAGAAAAAAGGTCTTTTCCACAGACCTGATTCAGTAATCCAGGATGGGGAATGTGGTATGAAAGACCACCATAAACCACTGAGATGGTCTATGGCCAACAGTTCAAAATATAACTACAGGAAAAGGAAAGAGAACTTTCCACTATTTCTTGGTTTATGGTCAATAACAGTATGATCTGTGTGGCGCTAAGGAGAAGCAATCTTTGGGGTCAGCAGAGGTTTGGGTTTGGGGTGAGCAGAGGGTAAAGTGTCTGAGGCAATCACCTTTAGTGCACATCATCACCAACCTGCTTTTTGCTGCAGCCAGATTGGACCAAGATGGCAAAGTCCCCGACTTCATGGGGCACTTCATGTAGTAGGACAGTCATTGTGGTCAGGATTCCCAATCCCAAACCCCCTCGAAATGAAGCACCAATGGCCAGACCATCTGTGAAGTTGTGTGTCAGGTCAGCAGCCAGATTCAGGTACCCTGATACACGCAGATCTTATACAGGAGAAAAGGAAGACAAAATGATTAGATGCTCCATCATCCCCATCCTGGCCCTGCTCAGCCATTATCACACTCCCCACATAGAAACCACATCACACCCAGCCCCTCAGTGTTTTCCAGACACCTGCCATTACCCATAGCACATATTTCATGTGATTCACGATGATGCCCCTTGCCCGAGCTTATTACCAACTCTGGACCTCACCTGAACCTGTTTTTTCCTCTTTAGAACTCTGTGGTCTCACTGGCCCATCCTTGGGTGCTGTGCTGCCTCCTCTCCGCTTCCTCAATCCCCCTACTTCCTTTTCTTCTTCCTCTGAGTTCTGTTTCTCCTTTGAAGAATACTCTGAGAGAAAGAAAGGGATGGTGAGGGTGGGGAACAGAGACTTCCTCGTATGTCCTCAGAAGAGAAGTCCCTTCCTAACTAAGAGACACAGGATGAAGGGATTCTGAGGGAAGCAAGGTGGCTTTCAGGAGAGATGTTCCTGGGCTTACCCTGTATTCCATGTCCATGACTTCCGTGCATGTGACCATGTCCATGACTGTGACTGTGTCCATGTTCTCCTTTTACATGTCTCACAAATTTCTCCACCACAAGAAAGGCGACAATTCCACTAAGGACCCATAGTCCCACGGACAGAATAGGGCCCTGGCCTGGGAATAGAGGCAATGAAACAATAAGGGAGATACGGATTCCAGACTCCTCCTCCTCAAGTGCAGGAGAAGAACTGGGAGGGATGGACCTTTCCGAGCACCCCAATCCCTATCTCCATCCACCCCTTACTCACCACTGTGCGAGTGTCCATGTCCCCGCTGCTCCTGAAGGTGGTGAGAATGAGGTTCTGGAAGAAGGGGAAGAAAAGGCAAGATGAGAAAATGAATACTTGACCCCAGGGTTGTGAATTTGCAGAAATATTGGAAGGTCAGAGATCACAAAGGGGAAAGAACCTCTTTGCCCAAAGAATATGTTAATGTTTGAGGTAGAGAGCTGAGATTCCTTACCCAAGGCATGAGGGATGAGGTGCAGGAAGGCATCTCCCAGGAGTCCGCCAGAAGCAAAACTGAGCAAGATCTGGAGCACAGAGCGGTGCCGTGGAGAGTTCGACTCCACCGGGATAAGGAAGAGGATGAAAAATGGAGCTGCGGAGATCAGCACTGTGGCGCCTAGTGCCTGGTGAGGGAAAGTCATGGGTCAGGTATGCTGGGTTTCCTAACAATCCAGAACCAGTCACTCTCTCCCCTATCTGCTCGGGACTCACATAGGCCCAGAGAGTGACAGTGTCCAGGTCCTGCTTGATGCCTAGAGCCTCCCCATAGCTTTCATGGCTGTGCTCATGGTCACGTCCATGTCCTTTGTGGTAGAGGCTCTCATGGGAGTGGCTATGGCCATGATCATGATGCAAATCCTCATGTGAATGTCCGTGGTGGTGGTGACCGTGGGTATGCCCATGCCAGATGCTCTCATGAGTGTGGCCATGGTCGTGGGCGTGGCTGTGTCCATGGTGGAAATCCTCATGTGAGTGGCTTTGGCCACGGAAGTCCTCGTGCAGGTCCTCGTGCAAGTCACCATGACCCCTGTGTCCGGCTACTAGCAGCCCCAAGGCCGCCCAGGTCAGCAGTCCCACGGTCACCCAGAGGGGGGCCCCCAGGCCTCTGGCCATCACGCTGTCAAGAAGGACAGAGACAGTGACTCCACGTTATCCTTAACTCTATCTATGCAGGGTCCGCTTTACTCCGCTCGCGCCCTCCATCCACTTCTATGGGCCACTTTCCCATTCCATTCTGCCCCCGCCCGCATTGTTCCCAGGATTCGTTCTTTTTATTCTGAACCTCCTTCCGATGTAGAGCCCCCGGGACACGACCCTAAGCTGTGAGTATCCACTTTGTGGACTCTCTGGGCCCTCGTCTGTATGAGAAGGTGGGCGAAAAAAACCTGGAAAGGACAGTAGGGGGAAGCGGGAAATCCTTACCGGCTCCAGGATCCTCTCCTTTCCCCTTTTCCTCAGACGTGGCAGTCCAGGCTCCCGCGAGAACAGAAAGTTCCGTTCTACCTCGGTCCCGATACCTTTACCAATGTGGCGGCACTCCTGTAGCGGCGAAGCCAACCTGCCCTGGCGCGCCTGCGTGAGAAGGTTATTTGAGGGGAGGGTGGGCGAGGCCTGCTAACACGCCGGAGGAGACCGCTTCCTCCTTTTCATCTCCACGAGGGGGCGGGAACTAGCTCGGAGACTTCCCGTCTATACCAAGATGGCTGCCACATGGGTGCTGTTGTTTTGGTGCAGAGCCGATCGAAGCGCCTAATTTGATCCGGTTCAGACCAGAGTCTTTTTCTTTGGGGTTTCTTCGTGCTCAGCCAGCCCCTCAGTCAACCCCTGGGAATTTCTGGTACCTCTTGATCTCTCTACACTCAGCCAGGAATCATGTCTTGGGCTACTCGCCCGCCCTTCCTCCCCCAGCGGCATGCCGCGGGGCAGTGTGGGCCGGTGGGGGTGCGAAAAGAAATGCATTGTGGGGTCGCGTCCCGGTGGCGGCGACGGCGGCCCTGGCTCGATCCCGCAGCGGCGGCGGCGGCAGCGGGAGAACAACAAACCCCGGAGCCGGAGTCGGAGCCGGAGCTGGGGGAGACTGGACGGGACGGGATGGGCGACTGCGGGCGGGGTGAGTGACCTAGCGAACGGACTTGCGAGCCAGTGACCGTGTTAGGTGCAATCTCTCCCCCCTCCCTTGGAGCTCTTCCCTTGGCGCTCCCGCCCCCTTGTTTGTAAACAGGCGTCCCCTGCCTCTGGAGGGCCTTAGGGCCCTGCCCCCGGGGCGGGGCGGGGTGGGGGTGGGTGGGAAGCTTCCGCGCTCCTTGCCCTGGCCGCTGAATGGCCTACACTCCGCTCCTCCCTGGCATGGTTCACAAATCCTCGAATTGGAGGGCTCCGGACGTTTGAATGCAGGGCCTCCGTCCTCGAAGGGGTGTCTTCCGCTTATCTCTATTTCTTGCACGCTGGGGCTGTAAGCTGGAAATGGAGGGTTTCCACGTGTTGCCCCACCCACGTGAGACTGGCTTGGGCATCTGGCTTGCGGTGACCAGATACATTGCTTGGAGTTTTTTCTTACCTGAGTTATCCTCCTTTCCTCTGTGAACCCTCCTCCTTGTCGCCACAATTAGGAGTTAAACTGTTGTGTGACAACAGGGTGTCTCTCGACTTGGGGATGGGGGTGAGTGCAGGGAATGGGGGTGAGTGTGGGGGGTAGGGGTGGATGTAGGGGATGGGGCAGGGAGTAGTGGAGGATGTGAAAAAGTCTTCAGGTGCATGATCGAAGACTCATTTTCATTTTTTTGTCTCTCCTGTCTGTGTGTCTTTGTGCCTCTGTGTACCCCTCCCTCAGACTCCCGAAGCCCAGACAGTTCCTCCCAAAATCCCCTTCCCCAAGGTGCCCCTCCCCATTCTCCTTCTGGGCCACCTCTACCATCTTCAGCGACCCAGTCCCTTGGAGGCTCTGGGGCTCCACCCCCAACCCCAATGCCACCACCCCCGCTGGGCTCCCCCTTCCCAGTCATCAGCTCTTCCATGGGGTCCCCTGGTCTGCCCCCTCCAGCTCCCCCAGGATTTTCCGGTCCTGTCAGCAGTCCTCAGGTGAGAGGTCGTGACCCACATTCTACCTTTCCACTTTCATTTCCTTGTTTTCCTTGTGACCCCAGATTCTTGTGTGAACTTCCCCATGATCCACTGACCTCCAATCCTCTAACTCTGGCAGGCTTGTGGTCCTTGTGAGACCCCGTGTCCTTGCCGAGGTGATCTTGCAATGCATGCTTCCTCCCCAACCCTACAGAGGAACCTTAATGTCCTGAATGTCCCTTTTATCTATCAGTGATTTTCTGCCCCTTTGGTCCCATCTGCCCTTCTGAGATACATGCCTTTCAGGGTCACTGTTTTGCATAGTTTCAGGGGACATTGTGGGTCTAATCTCGGGGTTGTGCTCTAGGGTTGGCCCTTTACATGGGTGCAGTGTAATAATGCCCTTTGGGATGTTCAATGCAGGGCCCTGCCTAGGTGTTAGGGCACGATTTCCATCAACTTTGAGAGATTCTCTTTCCCAGTGAGTCTCCCCATGACTTCCCTATTTCCCCTATCCCAGATTAACTCAACAGTGTCGCTCCCTGGGGGTGGGTCTGGCACCCCTGAAGATGTGAAGCCACCAGTCTTAGGGGTCCGGGGCCTGCACTGTCCACCTCCTCCAGGTGGCCCTGGAGCTGGCAAACGACTGTGTGCAATCTGTGGGGACCGAAGCTCAGGTATGGGGCTCAGAGGACCAACAGAGAGGAAGAAAGAAAGAGAGCCTGCCATTTATCATCCCCCATGGGAGTCCCAGGGCCTCATGGGGTGTCTTTGGAGCGAGTGAGCAGGGGGAGGTTCAACGAGAGCTAAAGAACCTGAAGCTGAGGTTGGGGATGGGGGTGGTCAGAGGGAAGAGTGGGACTGGATTGCCTCTCATGCCCTCATTCTCCAGCTCTGTATTTGGCAAATGCAGAGTAGACTTCTAAGTTTGTTGAAGGCAGGTTGGCAAAAGACTTAATGGTGAGGGATTTACCTGCAGCCTTGTTATTGCTGTTTCCCTCCACCTGTAGGCAAACACTATGGGGTTTACAGTTGCGAGGGTTGCAAAGGCTTCTTCAAGCGTACCATTCGTAAGGACCTGACCTACTCGTGCCGGGACAACAAGGACTGCACAGTGGACAAGCGCCAGCGGAACCGTTGTCAGTATTGCCGCTATCAGAAGTGCTTGGCCACTGGAATGAAGAGAGAAGGTAAGGTCCTGTCCTACCCAGGCTTCCCAGTCTACCCTATGGGAGGGGATCGGGGAGGAAGACAGCAGATTGCAAGAAACCTCTAACCAACCTCTCAGGAAGGCTGGACTGTTTTTTCTCTCCTCCAGAGGGCGTTATTTGATTTCTCTCCCCTCCTTATCAGCTCTTCTCCCTGATACCTTGATCTGGTCCCTTGAATTTCCTTCTTACTGTTTCTGCCTCTGGCCTGTACCTGTGACCCCTGCCTAGTGTGGTGTGAGGGTAGGATAACTTTCCTTACCCATGATGCGTTTCTCTGTGTCCCCTTTCCAACCCGTGTAGCTCTTCTCTTTGACACAGTGTTCCCTCTCTCATCTCTGTCTCCCTGTCACTGTGGTCTCTCCTCCAAACTCTGGCATTCTACTCTTAAGGTACAGACTTTACTGAAGACCTCAGGGCTGTCTTCCCTCTTCTTTACCTTATTTTCTTTAGTCTGATTCCAGAATTCTTAGATACTTGAGAGGATATCTTGATCAAATCCTTCATTTTAGACATGACCCTAAGGCCTGGTGTTCCAGGATCATGCAATAAAAAGTGGCAGAGCTGGGATCAGAACTTACATCTCTGAAGACTCAGGGCAGTGCTCCTTATACTGCCTCTCTGTTGAGTCAGAAGAGCACAAGATTTGCAGTCAGGCACGCTTAGATTCAGATATGTGACTTACCATGTATTGTGTGAACTTGGGCAAGCTATTTGCCTTCTCTAGGCCCAAAATTCTTCATCTTTTCAAAGGCCCTGGCTGGGTGGCTCAGTAGGTTGTCTCATACACCAGAAGGTTGGGGGTTTGATTCCTAGTCAGGGCATATACCTAAGTTGTAGGTTCAGTCCCTCGTTGGGGTGGGTATGGGAGGCAACCAGTTGATGTTTCTCTCTCACATTGATGTTTCTCTGTGTCTGACTCTCCAAAATCAATAGACATATTGAAAAAATAAAATGAAGACCAGGGACCACAGGGTGGTTATAATAGAGTGAATGTTAAAATGTGTTTGACACATTCTTTAGTGTGTAATAGGCTCTCATTTTAAATGTTACCTTTTTCTCTAATTCCTTTACACTCTCCTTTTTTTTTCTTGGCTTACGTGACCTTTTATGACATCTGCTTCTAGTCTGCCCCCCAGTCCATCGTAATTTGAAGTGACTGCCCCACTTCCTATAAGTATCTCCTAAGGGCCCTAAGACCCTGGTAAGGCCCTAAGGACATTTCAAAACCTCACCATGGCTGGCTGCTGACTTTCCACTTTTTCTTCCTCCCTCCCCCCACAGCGGTACAGGAGGAGCGTCAGCGGGGGAAGGACAAGGACGGGGATGGGGAGGGGGCTGGGGGAGCCCCTGAGGAGATGCCTGTGGACAGGATCCTGGAGGCAGAGCTTGCTGTGGAGCAGAAGAGTGACCAGGGCGTTGAGGGTCCTGGGGGAACTGGGGGTAGCAGCAGCAGCGTGAGTGATGGGGTCAATCCACTCTTCTTCGTGATGGGGGGTGGGAGCCTAGGTCTTTTCTGTCTCCCTCTCCCCGCCCCTCCCAACCCTCCTAACACTGTCTGGGACTGGAGGTGCTGCCAAACCAGGTCTCTTAAGTACCCGAGGTGGGTGCAATAGTATCCTCCGCCCCCGCCTCTAAAATAACCCAGTGGCTGGCAGAACCACAGGCAAGTCCCAAATAAATGTTTTCACGAATTCTAGAAGAAAAGTCTAATTTATAAGGATTGGTTTAGATGGGGTTTGAAGAAATACTATGTTGTAGACGGGGGTGTCAAAAGCCTCTTACAAGGGGGGGACTCCCAGTATACTTCCAAACGTCCCATAACTCTTGCCCCCCATCTCCTGCAGCCAAATGACCCTGTGACTAACATCTGTCAGGCAGCAGACAAACAGCTCTTTACCCTTGTTGAGTGGGCGAAGAGGATCCCACACTTTTCCTCCTTACCACTGGATGACCAGGTCATATTGCTACGGGCAGGTCAGTGACCTTATATCCCTTTGACCCGTCTTTGAAATGACCATCAGTGAACCCGGTGCACACTTAAATACTCAGGGAGTGAAGCTCACTGACTTCACCACCTCTTCTCTCTCCCTGGTGTGCTTTGAATCCTATGGCCTGATCTCTGGCTCCTGACCCTTGCTGCCCCCCAACCCAGGCTGGAACGAGCTCCTCATTGCCTCCTTCTCCCATCGATCCATCGATGTCCGAGATGGCATCCTCCTTGCCACAGGTCTTCACGTGCACCGCAACTCAGCCCATTCTGCAGGCGTGGGAGCCATCTTTGATCGGTCAGTGGCCATCCACTGGGCTGGCCTCTAAGTAGAGGGGGTGGGGCTATAGGCTGGTCCGTGTCCAAGGCTGGCTGAGCTGTGACCTTTGAGTGACCTGCAGGTCCCTCTCCAGGGTGCTGACAGAGCTAGTGTCCAAAATGCGTGACATGAGGATGGACAAGACAGAGCTTGGCTGCCTGAGGGCAATCATTCTGTTCAATCCAGGTAAGAGGATGTCATCCCATCTTTCAAGACCTTGGAGCCTTCTCTTCTTTGGAGACTCTTAAGTTAGCCAGCTATCCCCTCAGTAAGACCCTCAGCCTGGAAATCTCCCAGTTGACCATGAACAACCCACGTCCACTGCTGCATTCCCCTTCTGACCCCCTCCCATATCCCAGTGTGCCCTGCTTCCCTTGCCAGGCATCTGGAGAAGGGCAATTAGATGGAGCCTGAAAGGGATATCATGTGGGCCATGTCTCCCCATTTGTCTTGATTTGATTTTGCTACTTTCCTCCTCTGTCTTCCGTGCTGTTCCAGATGCCAAGGGCCTCTCCAACCCCAGTGAGGTGGAGGTCCTCCGGGAAAAAGTGTATGCATCCTTGGAGACCTACTGCAAACAGAAGTACCCTGAGCAGCAGGGACGGTGAGAAAGAGCTGTGGGGGTGAGAAATTGTGGGGACTGAGGCTCCCACAGGGGTGCAGGTTAGGGGGCTGCGAGAGTGCGTTCAGGGTCCATGTGATTCCAGTTCTCACTCTACTTCTTTCATCCTCACCTCAGGTTTGCCAAGCTGCTGCTACGTCTTCCTGCCCTCAGGTCCATTGGCCTTAAGTGTCTAGAGCATCTGTTTTTCTTCAAGCTCATTGGTGACACCCCCATTGACACCTTCCTCATGGAGATGCTTGAGGCGCCTCACCAGCTGGCCTGAGCCCAGACACAAATGCGGTGCTTCCCACACTTGAGGACGACACGTCCAAGACGGACTCCATGCCTTGGGGCAGGGTGGGGAGGGGCCATGTTTTTAGAGTCCTGGTGGGGTGAGGACTGTAGGGCAGAAAACTGAGACCTCCGAGGGTCCATCAGCACTCTAAGGGGGCCCCAGATCCTTATGAGGGCTGGACCTCTCCCTTCAGTGGCCTTGAGTCTCTGAATTTGTCTGGGTCTGCCATAATTTGGGGTGAATTCTCACCCCCTTCCTAGAATCATCTTCCCCCAGCACAAGCACTGGCCTTGCTCCCAGGACTTCCCGTCCTTCTCATCTTGCCTCACTTAGTTCCTCATCTGGATACACAGTGCCCCCAGAAGTGGATATTTGGGGGCAGGCTCCCCCAAACTGATGGACATGGGAGCAGGGCTCTGGCAGGCCTTCCTCTAACCAAGCCTGGCAGATGGGGGCTACTCTGGAAGAGCAAGGGGGCCCTGTCACTGTCTACTCTGGAGTCACCTCTTACACTTCATTTCCTTCTGAAGCCAGACTGAAAAACAAGGTGGTGGCGTGGTGGTTAAGGGGCCGGTGGAGATGCAGGAATCCGTTTGCTATTTTTAATTTCCTCTGAGGATAGAGACTTACAGTTAGACTCAAAGAAGTACTGTATTTTTCCCAGGTTGACTAAGAAATGCCAGTGGTGGAGGTGGTATTTGGGAAAGGCAGGGCCTCGGGATGGTATGTCCCTGGGGCTCTTGAAGCATTGGCCTTGTGGACCCCCTCCTCCCACCTCTTCCTGTCTAACTTGGGGAAGGGGCCTGGGCTTTTACGGAAGGGTGCTCCCCCAGCCCTGGGCACACACGATATAGGCTGGGGACACAGGACTCAGAATTTAGGGGAGATGGCTAGCCTACAGAGATGGGGTGCCGGGGCTGCATGACTTTTGCCCTGCAGTTTTTCTCTCTGGGTTTCTTTCACACATAAAATCGCTTTCAAATTGGAGTCAGTGTTTTCTGGACTGAGGTGACTGTTGGGGGTAGACAACTGGCTGGGTGTGTTTGGGGGTGGTATCCGGTTGGTCGGGACCTCTGGACTGCTCCCTTGATACCGGCACTGCGGCCGAGGTTCCCTGGGGCTGAGGGGCAGCTGCAGGGTGGGGGGACACAAGGCACGCTTTGTCGGGGAGAGGGACGTGGGGGTGCCAGGCTGGGGGTGGGGCGGCGGCGGATTCTCAAAGGCGCCTTGTTCGCTAGCGCCCTCCTAGCGACAGTGGGCTGCGGAGCCTTACGCGCCAGCATGTCCTCACTGGCCGCCGAGGGCTCCGGGCAGACCCGGCGCGGTGCCCATTCCTGGGGCTCACTTGGGGGCTGGACACTGCTGCATCCTTCTCAGCTGTTGCCCACCTGGAGGTGGCCTCTTGTCCTTGAGTGACCTCTTTTCCCACACTCTTCCAACTAGCGTAGACTGTTCCTTCATCTCTCCACTAGGTCCGTTTTCACCTGGGTTCCGGGACTTCTTTACCTCATCCCCCCATTTTCACCTCTTGGGACATGATTAACCTGTTTGTCCAGTCTCTGTCCCCTACACAGGTTCTCTCCACCTCTCCTTCCTCCCTGTCCTCCACCCCCTGTCCCCTGAAGACTTTGCTTTCCAGCCCCAGATCTCCAGCCACTATCTATAGCCCTGTCTATAAATACCCCTGCCTCGGCTGCTCTGTAATTATATGGGGCAGGGTGGGGGAAGTAATTGCGGAGACGTGTTGGGGGGGTTGGTAGCGACCCCCAGGCCCGCCTCTCCCCTCCCACTGTTTTAAGTCCCGCCCAGGACTCTGCTGAAAGGGGGCTGTGGGCCCCCAAGGGGGAGGGAACTGAGGGGAGGGGGCTGTGACTGGACGTCTGGGTCCTAGAAAAGGAAGGGGCTCGGGAAGAGATTGGGGTTCCTGAGAAAAGAATCTTATGGTGTAGGCCACTGAGTTCTTGCAAGGAGCAGAGCAGAACAGGCAGAGGACCAGCGAGGGAGCGTTCCTGTCCGCTTCCCCGCCCCAGGTGGAGACCGAGGTGGGGCCGGGGTTCTTCCTGGCGGTTGTGGGCGGGCGGCTGGAGTCGTGGGGCGGGGTGGGGGCTCTGGGCCACAGGGGTGGCCGAGGACACACAGGAGACAGGAGCTGCGGCCACTGAGGAGGGAGCAGTGCCGGGAGGCTGTCAGCACCTTGCTGCATGGAGCTGGGCTGCTGGGGGCAGTTGCCACCCAAGAGCCCCTGACCTCTCCCTGGGGCGCACGCATCCAAGGCTCAGTGGGATCGTTCTCTCCTGTCAGCCTGGGACGTTCATTGCCTCTGGCGCCCTTGGGTCCCTGGGACCGGTGTTCTGGTCATCAGCCATGCAGCGGTTCAGCTGCTGCCGTCGCCTCCTCCTGCTTATACCTCTGGTGCTGGCGCTAAGCTGGGCCCCAGCCTGGGCAGGTAAGAGGAGTCCCTGCGCCCGAGTCCTTGGAGTCAGTCTGGGGCTCTGAGTACCCTGGGCGGGGGGCAGCTAATGCCTGGGGCGGAGCTTCTGAGTCCAGCGAGGGGATCAGAGGTCCAGGGCAGAAGATAGGACACCTGGATCCCTTGGAGCTAGGGTAGGAATCTCTTTCCCTCCTTGAATTAGTTGGGGGAGGGCAGCTAAGGCTAAAGGGGAGTTTCACCTTAGAGAGCCATGAGTGGGGTGGGATGCTGGGGTTGTGGGGAGAGCGGAAGGTGGCCAGGGCTGGTGTGGTCCAGCCAGCAATGGGGTGAGGGGGTAGATGTCCATGCAGATGCGTGAGGGGTGCGTGTATGTCTTCCTGCTTTCTGTCTGTATCTTGGGGCCGAGGGGGAGCATCTGTGGATCAGAGCACAGCCTAGTAAATAGAGAAAGGAGGGATGCCTGAACTACTTCCATTGGCTTCCCAGACAGGAACCCCTTCCCCCTCCCTGTGCCCTCGGTGCTGCCACGCGGCTGGCTCTGGGGAATACCGGGGCTGGCTGCCAACAGGACGGCCGCTGGACAGGCCGGGATCAGGTGTCTGAGGTGGGAGCCAAGTCTTTGCATTCCGGCCCCACTCCGCCCCCTCTGGCCAATGGGGGCTCTCCTGGGATCCCGGTGTTCACAATTCCAATCTTTTCCTTCTTTTTCCCAGGGTCCAGAATTCCTGGCTGCCAGGAAAGGGGCTTTGATGTCAGAGGGGAGAGAGCTGAGAGCACCTGGGTCCTAGGCAGTCTAGAGCAAGCCCCCCCACTCCCGGCCCTGGAAACTGATTTGCATATAACTTGACTATTCTTTTCTTCTCTGCTTTGGAGAGAAAATGGTCAGAATAGCAACATAAAGGATTCAGATTAGATTACAGAAGGAAGAACTTCCAAGTTGTGAGCAGTGTGAGGCTCAGGGACAAGGGACAAGTGTGCAGTGTTTAGGAGTCTTCCCTAGGGGAAAAGGGACCCTGTAGCATGGAGGCAGGGAGATGGCGGAGGTGACTATCTTATTTTGGAACTGCGTTGTTAGAGGTGGGACTCTGTAGGGAAATGGGTTAATGCAGAATTCAAAAGAGTAATGGATGAGGCATTTTGAGGCCCAGTGGTGGAATGGTGGTGGTGATGGGATGATGAAGCTGCCAGCGGGGAGCCTGTGGGGCAGATTGAGGCCAGAGACGGTGGGACACACGTGTGGCCTGCGGTGGGAAGACAGGTGGGTAGCCTGTGGGTGGGTCATCTACAGGACGCAACTGCACTGTCCTGGGGATTGGTGGAGGGTGGGTGCCTCCGAGGTCTCCTTAGCCTGGGGTCTCTGTGAGTCCCTGTGTCTCTGTCTCACTCACCGTCTGTCTCTCAAAGCAGCCCTTGTGTGCTGTGTTTGCGGAGCTGCCACACTCGGAGGCCAGGCTAGGGCGGGGGTAGGATGGAGGGGGCAAGGCCGTGGTTTCCTGGCTCCTGGACTCAAAGGGCCTTTTCTCTGCCTGCCCCCCCCACCCCACCCACACCTCACCCACCCTCCCTAGCTCTGCTCTCCTGATAGCTCTGGCCCTTGCCCTGCCCCATGCTTCTATGAAAGTTTCGCAGGAACTTTCTTTGGAATTTTTCCAGTCTGGAGCTGATGGTGTGAGGAGTGTGTGTAGCAGGGAGCAAAAAATGGAGAGGTGACCTTTGTCTTGCTGGGAGTTTGAGCCCTAGGAAAACAAGTTCTAGGTGGATAGGACTGGTGGCCTGGGGTTTGAAACTGTGAATGCTGAATGGTAGCAGTGGTGGAGCAAGTTTCAGGCGTGGGGAACTTGCCCAGGTTTTGGGCAAGGATTCTGATGGGATCCACAGATGTGTGTCTTAGGGCCTTGGACTTGCTCTGGCTCCACGTGGCAGCTTCAGGCTCTCCCCCTACCCTGCCCCTCCACCCTTCTCCCAAGGTAGGGGCCCAGGCTCCTGGGTGGCTCTTTCTTGTATCTCCTTCCTCTTTATGATCGGAATTATCTCTACCTCTCCCGATTTGGGAACTGCAGCAGTTTGAAGTCCCCTCCCCGTAGAGGTGTCTCTCTGTGCCCCCTGGGCCCCCCTGTACCTCTGGTGCCCAGGATGATCGATTGCCCAGATGTTGTTTGTGCTGGAGACATGGGACAGATGCCAGAGACCCAGAAACCGAGAAAGACAGAAAGGGAGTTGGAAGGTGGGAGAAAGACGAGGAAAGAGAAAGGTGGGCAGAGCGTAAGGGGAATGGGAAGGGACAGGCAGGGAGAAAAAGACGAATGGATGCAGAGACAAAGACAGGAAGAAAGACAGTGAGAGAAAGAAGGGGAGATGGGTGGAGAGTGGAGAGAGATATTAGAAGAGAATAGAGAGCTCTGGCCAGCCCGTGTAGCTGGGTTGGCTGGGCGTCCTCCTGTGAACCAAGGGGTCCCTGGTTTGATTCCAGGTCAGGGCATGTGCCTGGATTGCTGGTTCCATCCCCAGGGTCACTAATGGAAGGTGGTAGCAGATATTTCTCTCTCATACTGATGTTTCTTGCCTTCTCTTTCTCCCTCCCTTCTCTCTCTAAAATAAGTCAATAAAACATTTTTTGAGAAGAATAAAGATAGAGTCACAGGCTGTAAGGCAGAGGTAGGGAGAGAGTAAGCAGGACAGGGTGCTGGCAGGGGGAGGGGCAAGAGTGAGCATGAACACCTGTGACTCTGGTTTCCCATTCATTCCAGCGCAGGGAAAGGAAAGGCACCCTTTGCCTTCCAGGGAGCATGAATCCCAGGAAGCTGAATTCTAGACTGCAAATGCCCCTCTCTAGGCCCTCCTGAGGGTGTGTCCCATCCCCTGACCCTCACGGACCCCCCCAGGTGCACCCCCTGTGGATGTGCTTCGGGCCCTGAGGTTCCCCTCCCTCCCTGATGGTGTCCGAAAGGCAAGAGGCGTCTGCCCAGCCGATGTGGCCTACCGAGTGTCCCGACCTGCTCAGCTGAGTGCACCCACTCGCCAGCTCTTCCCAGGTGGGTGATGTGGTGGAGTAGCTGGGCTAGGTCATGGGTGGGATTTTTGATCAGAAACCTGAAGGGAATGAGTTTATGGTTCTGTTTGCTTTTCATGCCACCTGTGTGTGTCTCTTTTGGGTCCCAGGAGGTTTTCCCAAAGATTTCTCTCTGTTGACTGTTGTCCGGACCCGCCCTGGCCTCCAGGCTCCCCTCCTGACCCTTTACAGTGCCCAGGGCATCCGACAGCTGGGCCTGGAGCTTGGCCGACATGTCCGCTTCCTGTATGAGGATCAGACTGGCCGACCTCGACATCCAGCTCAGCCAGTCTTCAGAGGCCTCAACCTAGCAGATGGCAAGTAAGTTAGCGTGCTCCTCCAGTCTGTCTGACCGGCAGTTTCAGGAGCTCCCTCTGGCTAACTGCCCCAGAACCCCCACTCCCTAAACTAGGAAACCCTGCCGACCATTTAGGCCATCCCTCACCTACCACTGCTCAAACTTCAGTTGCTTGTAGCTTAGAGTTTGGGCTTTGGAGTTTAAATCCT